CGCCCCACACAGCCTGCTGTTCAGTTGTTTGGTTGTGCCTCACTAATCCCCTTGCTGGCCTTGTCGCCCCATGCAGCCTGCTGTTTGGTTGTTACTGTGATGGCGTCCTGGACAATTTGCATATTCATCTATTATTAGAATAAAGTGTAATATCATGTTATGTTATATCTCTATATATATACACACACATATATATGCATACATATATACATATTTACCCTAGTACATTTTCATCTAACACAGGCATCTATTGCCACTTTAGCTTAAGTGACACCCCCAAAATACTCTGCATCATGTATTTCTTTATAGTTATTTCAGGGCATGTGTCACAAATCTCTAAATGACTGGTAGATTTATATATTTGGCTACTGTCTGTTTCTCCCTAGTGAGTCTTTGCTTTCCAAAGACCTTGTCTATTACCTGTTGAGTTCACATCTACAGTTTTTAGAAGTCAGGACAGTAATTTACACATAATAGATTCTCAGACAATATTTACTAAATCAGAAAGCAATATATTTTAAATTAATTTCTAAGTTTAATTGCTAATATTTATTTGGAAATTGCATTGATGTTCCTAAATAAATTGGTTTCTAGTTCTTTAGTTTATGCTTATCTGCTTTTAGAGTTATTCCAATTTCATTTTATAAAAATAGCATTTGAAAATTACATTATATATGTATATATGTTTTCTCAATGCCATAAATTGTTTAGAGTATAAAAATCATTAGTCATTTAAATATTTAATGTAACCTGCTTGGAATATGTCTAAATCCTTCATTTTGTGTGTAGTAACCATTTTAAAATTTCATATGATTATCAGCCTTTTTAGCTTATTTTTGTGTTCTTTATTTTCTATTTTCTATGTATTCTTTTTAAAAAATATATATTTTATTGATTTCAGAGAGGAAGTGAGAGGGGGAGATAGAAACATCAATGATGAGAGAGAATCACTGATTGGATGCCGCCTGCATGACCCTACTGGGGATTGAGCCAGCAAACCAGGCATGTGCCTTGACCAGGAATCCATGATCTCCTGGTTCATAGGTCAATGCTCAATCACTGAGCCACACTGGCCGGGCTATGTATTCTTTTTTTAACATATTTTTTTTCTTGAAATCATATTTGATCTACATTTTCAAAATGATTTGCGTAAGATTACATAAATACACATATAATTTTTAATATGTATGTTAGTATTTTTTCACTAAGTACTTCTGAATACTATTTGCAATTCCTGATTTTTGTTCTTGATTTGTCAAGCTGAATATGAAATATTTAAAAAGATGTCTTTTGAAAATTTACTTGTGATAGTTTTCTACTTTTATTTGTTTCTATTCTGATTGTTACTACCTATATTTGTGTTGCTGCTAAAAGTGGTAATAAGACACTTGTATAAATTTTATATTTCTAAATTTTGTAGCTCACTGTTATTTCTTTATGTGTGTATACACTAAGGAGCATTTGAAAAGAAAAGCTCATTCTTTTGCATCTCATTTCTAGAGGTTGATATTGCAGCAATTAAATTTTTATTACTTTTATATTCCTCTATATGATAATTATCACCAATTTTAGAAATGTTCTTTAAGAAAATACTTAATTGTTTAGATTCCAAACTAATAATGATTCTTGGGTATGCCACCAATTTAACATAGCTTGTTAATAATATTTAACAACCATGTAAAATATATACATCAACTGTAAAACATACCCTGACTTTAGAGTAGTTAAGTTATTAAAGATGTTTGTTTTAGAATTTAGGGTTTATAGTCATTTATATCATGAAAACATAGTGACATTCACTAATATATTTAAGGCAGAATTATTTAAAACAGTAAAGTGATTTTTAAATAAATGCCTAAAATTAGATAAACATGTAAGTAATCTATACTAAATGTATATCTTATGCAGCAATATAAAATAGTCATGAACATATAATTATGAGAATATTTATGAGAGAACATTAAATGAACAAGAAGCATAAAAAAAATATACTAACACTAGAGATAAAATTCCCTAAAAGCATGCTTGCGAATGGATAAACACAAGGGATACACAGAGAAAAATATCTAAAGAGCACTTTAAGTGTTCCCAGTGATTAGATGAAGGAGATTCTACTCTTTTCCTCCCATGCCCCCAAGCAAATTTTGTTCTAAGGGCATTTGCACAATAAAAAAAAATGAAAAAGAAAGAAAGAAAGAAAGAAAGAAAGAAAGAAAGAAAGAAAGAAAGAAAGAAAGAAAATACAGCAAATTCAGAGATGTGAAGAAAGCAGAGAAAGCCAGTCTGCATGATCTAATGTACTTAAAAAACAATGAACATATACCCTATGATCAAAAATGTTTGCAATTTGCACCAACAATTAATTTTCATTGCTATTGGGTTGGAGCCATCTACATTGCTATCCTTGCAAAACTGTAAAATATCCTGAAATAATAATTAATAGCAAGTCAAACAGGGAATGTACAAGACAAGAGAACTGGGTGCTCCCTGGCCAGAGCTGTTAGATCAAGTCCAGAGGGACGCGGAAGA